TCTGTGCTGCTGAGGGGCCACATGGAAGGTGCCTCTGCACAAACTCCCTGCCGTATTACAGGTATTTTTCTAGTTTATATAAAAATCTCCCATGGCTCCAGAGATTGTAAAATTGACACAGACACAAAACAATTTTGAAGTAGCACAAATGTTTGTCAGATGTTAGTGTTCTAAGTAGTTATGGGCAGAGCTGCTGCTTATGGGAAACAAGACCATGTATCAAAATGGGAGGAGGGCACTCAAGAATTCCTGTTACACTGATCAGAGTGAGTGATGTTGGCCTCTGACAGACGGCCAGTTTTTTCAAGTGCACTTTCACCATACTTACAAGCAAACATTTTAAGAGATGGCAATCTATAGCTAAATTAAAAAGAAAAGTTGCCAGGACTAATGTACAAGACACATGCTAATCTGCAACCCAATGGTGATGGACAATACTCAAGGAACTGAGTAGTCCATGAACCTTTAGACATCTTCCATTTTCAGACCAGCAACATATGGTGAAACAACAGTGCTATCCTCCATTAATTTAGCAATACTATGTGCACTTGCATAGACCCTCTCAACTAAGGATTTTCAAGACGTTCACACACACACAAAAACCCTCAGTACTTGTGTAATGTAAAAAACATTATAGCAATTTAAAAGAGAAATAACCACATTTTTTCATCAAATAAAACAAGTTGCATAGACCCTCTCAACTAAGGATTTTTAAGACGTTCACACACACAAAAACCCTCAGTACCTGAGTAATGTAAAAAACATTATAGCCATTTAAAAGAGAAATAAGCACATTTTTTCATCAAACAAAACAAGCTACACTTAATGCCCTTTTAAAATATCACCTTACACAGAGCACCTGAAGGTTATCCGCAAAGAGAACCTTCCCTTCCATTTCCAGGGGAATACAGTCAACCAGTTACTACTACACAGTGCGCTTACAGTCCAACCATTGAACAAGAGAAGGCAAACAAACAAAACCAGCACACTGCTGAAAGCAAAGGCTTCACTTACCTTTCTCTCCATCTGAAATTAGATCTCGTTCTCCCTTTTGAACCACTGTCAAATTCCCCATGGCTTGGCTGAGTCTTAACACACATCCATGATGATCACTACTGTCTACAGGGTCTCTAAGCTACAACACAAGAATTCCAGACACAGAACATATTTTACTACTAGAACAAAATAATCCAACACATGTGACTTCTGTGAGCAAAAAACAGAAAGTATTGCCATCTCTCTGTCCTGCTATTTTTATACTATACTCATTCTGAAATGCCAAAAAAGCTTAAGAAAGGGTCTTTTTAAAAAGAGCTCAATTTAAGAATGTGCACTGCTGTGGTGGCAATTATCTCATGGAATCAAAACCTATGCAATGTTTCTCTCAGATATAAGAAACAGCATATAATATTTAACCTAGCAAAAAGACGTTTACTTTTAAAGACTACAAGATTAATTTTGCATGTTTTAACCATCAAAAAGGAAAATAGCTCACCATGGCTTCATATAGTCTGCTAAACTCCATGTAGTTTGGAGTCAGAATAGCTCTCTGGTAGCCTTGAATAAGAGAAGGCTGCTGGGAAATGAGCCACAGTCCATCCTGCAAAAACCAGTAAGACAAACATTTACTAAATAGATTCTTAAATGACAAATTACTGAATTAACCAAAAAAGTACTTACAGCATCAATAATGATTGGAATTCCTTTGATCTTCGCTTTTTCTATAATACCCTGCAAGAAATAAAGATAACTAAGATGTTTGCTAATTTAACTCTCAGAAGGTCCAGGAGAAATCTAGCCTTTTCTTCTTATCAAAAGGGAACTCTACAACAAATCTAGTCTTTTTTTTTTTTCAAAATAAAATAAACAGATCTTTTGCATACTGCAGAGTACCAGAAGATATTTCCATATCATCTGGTAATTTTACAGTTACATTGCGCTCTTCCTGGTTTAATGTGAATAGTGTTTCTACACCTGACACCTTGTTGATTCACATCATGAAAATAATCTAACTCACTCTTCCTGCTATGGGAGTCATGCGATGTGAGTGCAAGCAATATACAGCAAACACACATACCTCCAATTAAAAAAGAGAAAATCCAAATAAATATCATGGTAGAAATCTACCAATAACAACAGTACAAGTTTCAGTTGCTTTTCTATGATAGCCCCAATACTACATTTGCATTCCTGTGCATGCATCCTGAGACCAGGAGAACACAACACGTCATTTCAGCGTGATGCTGGAGGTTTTACACCTACAAAACAAACCCCAAAAAATCCAGAGTACAGACTTTTGCAAAGTTTGCTTTTAGTGAGCAGTATCTGTCAGCAGACTCTTTGCTTTTGTTTTTCTCCTAACTGAACAGCAACAATGACTAATGCACTTTTTTTTTCTTTTTTTTTAAAATGAGCTGTAACTGATATTCAAGCTTTTTCAATGTTTACAAATTTCTATATTTTAAGATGGAGAGTATCATTCTTTTTTTTCCTGTCTATGATAACAGAATATGTGTTCCATCTAAAAGCTGAATTATTTTTCAAAGCTATTAAGCTCTTTGGATTAGCTATCACATGGTTTTAATTAATTTTCAGAGTACTGAATATATCTCTGTTCTTGCACTGTGGACAAGAGTAACGCTCTCCGCCTTGCCTCCTTCAAATCATTCATCATGGAATGTACACATCCTCACTAACTCATTCCCACACGATTCTGATTTTTCCCACTGCAGTCGGAACCCTTCCCTTCCATTCTGACCGCGCCGCACGCTTCAACTCCAGCTCGTTGTGTTTGTGTGGGCACCGAGTGCACACGGTACACGCGAGACTGCAGTGCTGCCCACAGCAACAAGCAGAGGGCTTCTCCTCCCAGTACTCAGCTGGAGCTAGATGAGAGGTCCCTCAGGACTGCAAACCTTTCTGTTGTGCACAGGCATTTGGGCTCCTGTCAGCCTGGGCTACACGTCACACGGTGCCGGGTGCCTCCCGCTCTGGGCATTCCCACGGAGCAGCACAAGTTACCTTTTATATTCAGCAGCTTAAGTAATTCTGAACAACAGCAAGTTTTACACAACTCACACCATTCAGTCACTACTACATTATTCAGATTTATGAATAAGAACATTTAACTGCAGTGCAAGGATGGAATCTTAAAATAAACGTAGACTTAGTTTTGCCATATTAAAAATAAACAGCTTTCCTTTCGAAGATTTTAAGAAATCTATGAGACAGTCATTTCCTTATTCATTATTTATCTGCACAGACCTGTCATCTTAGTTTCCCTTCAGAGAAATATTACTGATTTATCTCCATTGCACTAAATTCATTAGCAATTATGTTTAATTTGAGCCACCTGGTAACTAAGAATCAAGGCAGTGGGCCTATCACACAGGTTTACATCTCCTTCCCCTGTGCAGATGAAAGTTATCCATCCAGAGGTCCAAGCATTTTGAAATCTACTCAGCTTTTCGGATATGGTATCCATCTGGCTTTGAGGTCCAGAGGACGTCAAAGATAGCACGTGAAGGAGGCATTCAGATCACGCCTCAATTTCTGAGAGCACAAAATATCACTTTCTGCAACCAAGTCTTATAACCAGATTTTATCAAACAGAACTTTTTTTGTACATTAGCAGCAAACTCCTCCAGTATGCTTAAAATGATTACTGCCCGACTTCTCATTAGTTTGAATCTTCAGTTTATTCTCTTAACGTCATCTTTCATAATAGTTCATTTTTTAAATGAAAAAAAATCCTCTTCTTATTCCATAATAAAGGTTGATGGCAAACAACGTATCTCAAATGTTCGTAACCCTTCCAAACTATTCTCTTAACTTCCTTATATTAATCCAGTGAATTATTTTGCTTCAGTGTGCTGTTTCTGAAGCAGTTACATTTGGGCTGTTGCTACCCATCTATTTATCTTCTCATTTTAACTCATAATTGTCATCCTGATTATTGGTTAGAATTTCAGTATTTTTCTACACATACACATATACATATACATGCACACACACAGACATATACATAAGTATATACCCAGCAAACGGCTTTATCAATAAATTCTGAAAAACCATTAGCCACAAAATAACGTATGCATTAAAAAATGCGAAAACAAGGCAGAAGTTACAAAGCCTAAAAGTACAAATAAAGGTAAACAGCCTCTGAAAAGCTATATCTCTGCCACACTCTAGAGAAATAAGGCCCTTCTTCCCAGCAATGCTTTGAGTCCCCTCTTCTCTACTATGGTCTCCGCAACTCTCAGAGAAACATTTGACCTCTGCTTTGAAGAGAAATTTCATCTTGCTAAGCAAGACTTACTGGCAAACTTGTATTGTGCAGCAAGTCTCTGAGGTACCAAATTCTAATCTAACCTACTGAAGTGATCTTTGCTTCTCTTTCCTCTTATAAAACAAACAACGAGAGGATACAAAGTCCTTTATCGTATTTAGAAACCTCCCTTTTGAGCCAAAGCAAAACAAAAAAAAACAAGCATTTTCCTTTCCTCCTCATTCCCTGACCCAGGAGAGAAATTACCTGGAGACAGACAAGGCTCTTAAGAGAGGAAGTTCCAGGGTTGTGCATGTGTATACTACACCTGTGTAGTAATCTAGTAAGCAAAATAAAGCAACAACAGGGGTAAGAAAGTCCCCTTACGATAAGACCTAGTGGAAAAGAGCCTTGGCCTCCTATTGCTTGAGTGAGGATTCATCTCACCTGCTGCCATTTAAGGGCCAAATGTCTCACGCTGGGAGGGTGAAACCTCCCCACGGGGCTGGGCACCTCTCCTAGGAGGGGCTGAGTCTCTGTGCAGTAACCACAGAGGATCTGAGACAACTTACGGCTTCGTTCTTGGAGACCCAGAGCTGGGCAAGGTAACTTCCACTTTTAAACTCGCTGTTATTCCCAGAATTTCCTTGAAAAAAAAATATTGGAATAGTAGGATATGCTAACAGCAATACTGGATTCAATGTCTTTGCAGGGTATTTTGTTTCTGGAAAGCACAAAAATTAACTTTTAGTTGAATCTGTATGTCCACACTTTCCTCTCTTATTACTTGTAGTCGCTACATGCAAGAACCTTTGTTAATTATACCATCAATGCAGTTGAGATAAGCTCTGCTTTCACACCAAAGTGTGTTCAGTTCTACCCCCCGCAAAACTTACTTATATGGGAAAAGGCTTAGAAGAGAACATTGACAATTTAAAGATACTTTAAAGCTTTATTAAAGAAAAATCCTGAAATCCAAAGTTAAGGTGGGTTTTCAAACACCAAAACACCAAGCCAGATAGCAACATATATGAACTCTATCCACGACAAAACCAAGACACAGTTCCTTCCCTTCAAAGACCGCTCAACTATTAACACTTTGGATGCTCCCAGCTCCAGCATATTCCTACGCACCGCCCTCCTCTGCCCGGAACACATCACACTGTGACAGGAAAAGCTCCGCTTGGCTCACGGAGGCAGGAATTCTTCCACTTGCTTCACTCAGCTCAGGAGCACTCAAGGACATCCAGAAAGGAAGGACCAGACTCTCCAGGCAACCTTGGCGGCAGCCACACAGCAGGGAATGAGTGAGGAGGAGCCCCTGTGCTCCAACCTCAGGACCTACAGCCACATGGGTTAGACACGTTATCCGAGATGGAAATTCAGACCCTTCCTCTGGCAAATTCTCCTCCGCTAACACACTGGAGACCCAAGTTCAAGGTCCTACGGCAATTAAGATGAAAAGGAAATTACCTGTGATTTGCACATGCTGTGAATGCACCGTAACTACTGGGCAACATGGGAAAACTTCCTACAGGGTGAATGCTTGTTAGGGACATCAAATAAACACTCAACATTTACGAATGTCCAAAATTATGTGTTGAGAATTGCAACTTTTGTTGGGGCAACTGAAGAGACAGAGTCAGAAGGGATAAAATTAGCCTGAACCTACATTTGTACTGCTCATGAAACAGAAAATTCCCTGAAATTCTTTGCTCTGTGACTGCACATCCTGGAATACAATGCAAGGAATCTACTCAGTAAGAACTAAGAAAGAAGTTGTGTCACAAAAGAAAGCAGAGTTGCATCTGAGCAAAGATAGCCAATTTTATTGTAACTATAATAGAGAAAAATTATAGTGTAAGGGTAAATAATTTGGTTTTTAATTAATTATTTATAATTGAAGCGATTCCTCGAAATGCAATGTGTTAATTTTAATAGAAATCTGTGTTTGCTGTCCCAACTTTCACACAGGAATTATTAAAGAGACAAAGAGACTAGCCAAACTTTTTTTTTTTTAAGTAAAAGAAAGAAAAAACCCAAGAGCACACGCACATGAAATCAGAATCATTCAGGTTAGAAATGAACTCAGGAGCAAAACGCTTCAAGGAATGAAGACACAAGTTAGTGCTGAAAGGTGGCACAGCAGCGCAGAAAAGCACGACAGCTTCTGCAGCAGACAGACCACAGTCTCGCTGTGAAACACAACGTTCCCGTGTGCCGCCCTAACACCGACATCCAGGGCTCTCGCAGTGTTTCCCTGGCAGGGTGCAGAGGAACGGAAGGGGCAGGGATGACCTGATGCAAGAAACTGCCTGCTGGAACAGGAGTGGGAGAGAGGAACATCTTCTTGGGGCACTGTACATGGTATTACGCTAGGAACTGCTATCCAAGGACATCTGATCAGCAATGAAGCCTTCAGAGTGGCCACCCTAAGGTTGCAAGGAGCAGAGGACATCTGATC